GTTTACTTCATTCATTGTTACTTCTCCCTTTGGAGAAATCTTTCTGTAAAACGTGTGTGTATGGATGACAAATAAAATGAGCACAGCATGTCCCAGCATCCGGGAAGAGTGTCACTGAGTCAGGAGTTCCTGTGTGGTACAAATGGTTAAGCACTCGGCTGCCGACCAGAAGGTTGGCGGCTTGAGGCCACTCAGGGATGCCTCGGATGACAGGCCTGGTGATCGACTTTTGAAAAATCAGCCCCTGAAATCTGTGTGGAGTACAGTTCTGCTTCACACACATGACTCCACCAGGAGTCAGAGTCAGTTCAATGGCAACTGGTTTACCAAGGAATCAGCGTTAGACCCACTCCTCTCCATTGCATCATTATGTATCCTGGGATCTGGAATTAATGCCAACCACAGGATGCCATAAGCCAGCACTCCAAATGTCACCCTCAAGTGGGTATGGACCTGACAACTTAAATGACTTGTTTTAAACTGTGGTAAAATACACTTAACATAAAATTTACAGTTTTAACCATTTTAAGGGTACAATTCAGTGGCATGTATTACAATCACAGTGTTGGGCAGCCCATCACCACCGCCTAGTTCCAGAATGTTTTCATCACCCTAATAGGTATCCCTGTGCTCACTAAGCAGTCACTCTCGATACCCTCCTCTCCCCAGTCGCTGGCAAACCTGACTACTAACAACTGACTTCTTCTCAATACACGTGTTAGTTGATGCAAAGACTTAATTAAGCTCCTGTACAACAACAACAACAACAAATCAGCAAGTTAGTGTCAAGTCGGTTAAAAGAAGCTATGAGTCACTTCAGTCAGCTCATACCATAGCTCCTCCCCTGCCCATTTTTAGTCTAAATTTACATTGTATACCATCCTAAAATCACTGCTTTTGCCTTCTATAAAAGAGTTGTATAGCTGAGACTGGTACACCATGTGATCCTCAGCCTATACGACTATGAGACCAGAAGAACTAGATGGTGCCCAGCTACCACTGTCAACCACTCGGAGGGGAATTATATCTAGGAGATCCTGGATAGATAGGAAGAACCATGTGGAACAAAACTCAAAATCATTTGGGGAAAAAGAAAAAGAACCAGGTTTGCTGGTCTGATAGAGCCTGATGGGACCACTGAGACTATGATCCCTAACTGCCCTTCAGGTCTGGAATTGAATCCACACCTGTGGCTTCCAACCAAACAAAAGACAGGCATATGAGGTGAACATTTACACTAGGTA